ATGGGCCGCAAGTGGATGAGACACAGATAGTTGTGACCCGAGTGGCTGTGACACGGATGGCTGTGATCCATGTGGATGTGACATGGATCGATGCGATCCATGAGCTGCTGATGGATGCGATCTATGTGGATGTGAGACATGTGGACTGTATGTAGGTCGTACAGTCCTATGGCCCTGTGAAGAAAGACCTGGCGTCTGCACGAAGGTGTAGGGCTGGACATGCGCTGGCAGCTCAGAATAGCCCTGGGGTGGAGGCGCAGGCACAGGCATAGGCACAAGCATCTGTGAAGAGGCAGGAACGGATTGAGTAGTACCTTCTACCCTCATCTTTTGTTTCCTAGGCTTTTCTCTACCCCGAGAACCAGTAGGATCACTGTTACCTCGACCTTGCCTGACATCTGCATGACATAATACAAAGTTAGATTGAAACATATAAAGAAACTAGCTATAACATGAGTTATTAAAGAAACCAACTTTTTAAAGCTGATCGACGTATAGTTCCTCGTCCGAGAATTCTTCTTCCTCACTAGTTTGAGCTTCATCAGTTGATTCTTCTTCCTCGTTTTCTATAATTCTTACTTCATCCATATCAACCTCCATCCATAAAAGAAATAGCCACAGTATACTGTGACAATATGTCACTATGGAGGATCAGTTGTGTGAGACCAAGGAGGAGAGAAAAACATTCAAGCACACAGCTATAACCATCAACCTTTGTGCTGGTTTCTCTAGCCAAATGTCACCATGTTGAATGTTCCTAGGGTCACAAGTTGTGACTCACAACCATCAACATTTGTCTCTTTCCAGAGAGGACATCATTGGTTAACTCAAGAAATACTTACTATGCGTTCTCACGAAAAAGCTTCTTGGACTTAAATTCTTTATTATCTTCATTCTTCTTATATCTTCTTCTCTTTTCTCCTTTTTTTCCTTCTGTATTCTTTTGGGTAATTGCAAAGCTCAATGATTTTTGCAGGTTCTCTTTTCCTTTTGTATTTTTTTGGGTAATTGTGAAGCTCAATGGTTTTTGCAGGTTCTCTTCTCCTGTTTCTCTCTGATTTTCCCAGATCCTTTTTCCATTTTTTTGATTTTTTGCCCTATCTTTTGGGTTCTCTGCAAGAATTTTCATTTTGCAATTCAATGGCTGGTTGTTAAATTAGGTGGTAAAAGTGCATTTTAAGCTCTAACCTTGCTGATTTTTAGAATTTCGTGATTTTCTGTGTTCTTCACATACTTTTGATTATGCAATTTCATGGTTGTTGTGTGCTATATCGGAGTTCAAACATACTGTTATATTGTAACATGCTGTAATTGCAGATTATCTGAACATGTCAATGCAATTTCTTCGAAAATATGCACCTGCAGAGTTCAAGTAGTTGATAAAGGCAGACTTAGGGATAACAAAAAAGGTATCAACTTATGATTATGCAGGATCAAAAGGTAGTTTTTGTTGAATTCATAAATTGCCAGCAATAAATGAACTAATCTACTATTTGCTCATATATTTACTTAGAGAACTGCAAGAAAACCATGGATTTTAGAAAAAAATTATTCACTTTATACATATTTGGGTATCCTAATTGTATCTTATATTATTACAGGAAAACCAATTCCAGGGCATTATATTCAATGCTGAAATAACACATTTTTAAGATCTGTTTCATGCTTTCCGCACTTACTTGGTGTTTGTTGCACAAGTTAAGGAATCAGATTATATGTGTATGGATATCCAGTTAAGAAATTCACTTGGACAATTGGTAGGAGCACGTTCGCTGAGCCAATAGAAACGATCAATCCTCCTGAGAATCCACTATGGTCGTCGACGCGACTAACTCTCGCACCATTTGACAGTTTCAAGTATCAACTCAAGGTTAATTCGTGCATTTATGTAGAAATATTTGCTGTCATTTTAAACTTTGGTATTTTGATGGTTTCTAGCTAGATTCCTTTGGATCCTGGTATTTCTTCCTTTTCTCTCTCTGTCTTCATGACCCTTCACATTTTTAGTTTACCTGGTGTATTTGTCCAAAAATCTCCAATAGGAGCTTTAACTGTAATTAGTACCATTTTTGGAACATGATGGTACAAGTTTCAGTTTCAGTGATTTCCTTTAGCTTATAGCAAAATCTCTTTTGAATTCTTGTACTTATGCTCTTCTTTTCTTGGTTTTCTGTTGGACCACTTCTTTTGGAAGTTTTAGGTTTGGTTTTCTGCTTAAGTTGCTGTGGTTTCTTAACAGATTTTTTGTATTTACTTTTGTTTATCTATGAGTGGAGAAATAGAGTATTACTCAATTTAGATGTATTTGTTGCATTGCTGGAGAAATGCTGATGTTGGGGAACTTTTTGTGGGTTTTTAGTTCAACCTTCCTATTGGTTGTGTCAACTAAACCTTTAATTTGAAACATCATGAACAATGTTGCACCGTAAACGTGGAAACTTCTAACTGACTGGCTTGAACATGCATTTTTTCACTGAATCTATGATGAATTTTCAAGTTTTATTTTTTATATAATTTTCCGGTATAATGTGGTGCCTACGCTTTCCTGAGTCGAGGGTCTATTGGAAATAATCTCTCTATCCTCACAAGGTAGGGGTGAGGTCTACAAGAAAACACTTATTTTGTGGGGGGTTTTTTGGTCAAATTGCGACAGTTTTTGACCCCCACAAAAAGAATTGTGGCGGTTTCTAGAAGTGCCACAGTTACCTTTGCCACAAGCATTTTGCCACGGGTTTTTAAAACCTCCACGACAACCGCCACAAAATAAATTTTTGATTTGTGGGGGTTCTCAAATATAATTAGTGCTAGTTTAAAACCCCCGCAATATGATTCCGGTGTGTCAAAAAAAAAATATTGCGAGGGTATATAAACCCCCTCAATATGATCGTAATGGTTCAATAAAGATATTGTGGGGGTTTAAAAACCCCCCAAAATATGATTTAAATATTTTTCTTAAAAAGTTATGTGGGGGTTTTTGAAAGATAATTAGTGCTAGTTTAAAACCCCCGCAATATGATTTCGATGTGCAAAAAAAACATACTGCAAGGGTTTATAAACCCCCTCAATATGATCATAATGGTTCAAATAAGATATTTTGGGGGGTTTATAAACCCCCAAAATAAGATTTAAATTCTTTTTTTAAAAAGTTATGTGGTGGTTTATAACCTCTACAATATAATATTAGTGTTAAAAAAAAAAATAGTGGCAGCTTATTTCAGCCACAATATTTTGTTGAAAACTCTTTTTCTATTTGAATTTTTTTTATTTGTAGGATTAAAGAAATAATTTTATCAATAACTTACGACATAAATCAAATTTCATAAAAAATAACCATAGTGACAAACATTATAAATTCAAATCCTCATGGAACTAAATAAATTTTTTTATCATGAGCAATGACAGATGATATGGTCACCAACCAGCTAAGATATTAAAAATGTATTCATCAAAAGATTGAGCTTTACTAATTTCATTCGAAATAAAATGGAGTACTTTTTTCTAGCTAAGTCTCCGCGAACTCTACCAAAATAACACTGTCATGCAATGGCTAAACTTTCTATGGGGAAATAACTAATTCTTGGGTAAGGATACAAAAAGAAATTGATAGGTTATTATGAAAACCTGAACTTGATTAAGAACATTGAGTTCTCATTGTTCTTGTAATAATCAACAATGAAATTCACCATCTTGTGACCATACTCTCTCTGTTGCTCTGCATCCATGGGCTTCAGTTCACCCTACCAAACAAGAAAAACCAAATAATATACGCCTAAGGTTATGCCAACTAGCTAATGACTATTTCAAAGTCATTTATTGCTTTGGAAGAACACATTTGGGAACACTTTTAAAGCAACTAGTGTCCGCCGTCACTAGCAATACTAGAGCATATTCTCCTTACACTTGCATGAGTCATGAAACAAGATCTAGTTATTCAGCCAAAAATACATCATATTTCGTTTAATACTAGTAACCCTATAGAGATGAATTCTACAACTACAATGTAAAAATTTAACCAAGCAGACATGAAATAGCAAGATACAGATAAGTAAGAATAAACACATATACCTCGTGCCAAATATAGGAGCATTCTTCATCTTGTGCCAAACAAAGAGATATTCAAGCAATGCTGCGTTGCCCACAATTTTACAAGGTTGATTAGTAAGTACATAATTACCAAACATCAGAAACTGTTCTATATGCAGAATAATAGGACTACTGGCCTGTAACTGTGATAGGCCAAAGCAAAAGAGCTCGTGCTATATAATTTAACTTAAAATTCTGTAATCTCGCATTAAAGAGAAGCATGGATAAGATCAAACTACTCAATAGCAACATTTAGGTCTTAAAGAATGAACACAGGACAAAAAAATTGGACCTACAAACGTGGCGGCAAATTTCACACATAGTGTCCCCCTTCTCATTGCACCACCTACTGTGCATAGAACAATTCATTAAGACAAAATA